CACGCCCAGCCTACTGGCCTTTTCGGCTTCTACGAATTTCTGTTTGTCTTTTAGACCGCTTTCCGCATTTGCAGTACACCCATCCGTGACAAGAAACAGCTCTGGTGCATTGAATACCAGAGGAAAGCACAATTACCACATAGTTATCCTTCATATATTCATAAAACACCTTTTCAAACGCCGTAAGGAACGAGAAGGTTACAGCCCCTAATTTCACAATAAAAGTGTGCGAAGCTAATTTTTAAGCCATAGCACAGAAAATTAAAAGTCAGGTGTGCGCCAAAAATTTGGAAAGGAGATCAATTAAAACAAATCGCAAAAATAACGGTGGACCAGGGTGATTTTTTTCCCGGGCACATATGTGGTTTATATGACATATTTACGGAATTTTGGGGTAAAAAGGTTTATTCTAAACTCAAACGTTTTGCAGAGCAGAGCCTTGTGCTTCCAAGGAGGGGCCCGGACAACTGAAACACTTAGGCTTCTACAGGTTCATTATTCCAGTTTTTAATTTTTTCGAGTTGCAGCTTTTATCATATGCTGGGAAGAATCCCATGGTTTCAATTTTTCCTGTTTTTTATCACGCTCTATCTTCAAATTGTAACGGTAGGATGGTATCTGCTACAACCTGGAAAAAAGTTTGACACCTGCGTTCCTCTGTCCCTGATGTCCACTGCAGTTAGACTGCGTGATTTTAAGCATGACCTGGTTTGTGTCAGATAATACCCATTATTTGCGTGATTACCCCACCTCCGCACATTGCAGGGTGCCTACAAATGCAATCAATCGTTTCTTTATTGCAACTATACCATTGTACCAAAACTTTATATGAATAAACTTTATCATCATTAACTTTTCAATTCTCTATCTTTGAGTCCACTCATTGGAGAACTGCCAGGGTTGCATTTTCAGTTTTGGTGTAGGTAGATTAACTAGTCTCAGCATAACATTTCCTGAGTCGGCTTTGGCGATTGGCGGAAACTCTTGGGAAAGTAACAGGCTCTAATGGAAAAATGAGGTAAAATACTGAAGTTATTTCTTTCATTCAGTGAGATTAGGTATCACCAATTATCAAAAAGCATTCTCATACACTTGGAATCTCAAGGATTCCTGAGGGGTGAACACTGAAAATTCTTCCAAAATGAAGAGTCCTTGGCATCCGCAGTAGACGACTAGGTTGCTGTGGAAGCATTCTCATACACATGGTATCTCAAGGATTCCTGAGGGGTGAACACTGAAAATTCTTCCAAAATGAAGAGTCCTTGGCATCCGCAGTAGACGACTAAGGTTGCTGTGGGAGCCGGCAGTTCAACAGCGTATAATAATCATACCTGACCTTCCGTGTTCTGGCGCTCATCCCAAGACGGTGTCATTTCTTCCAGGTGCGCTCACAGGACGGCCGACCTCCGAGCTCTGTGTGATATCACAACAAAAAACACCACAGTGGTGAAGAGACGATTATGTCAGAATAAGTGAGGCTTATCACAGTAAGCGATTTTTAAAGTCGCATTAGCCCAAGTTATCGTAGTGGTCCAGTTAACGTCTTTGTGCGTTTTCCCAAAGTCTTCCCCTAACTATTATGCGTTTTCAGTTAGATTCATGGCGCTCAGTGTTGTCGAGGTAAACAGTAGGTTGATAAATTTGGAACGGGGCGTCTGATTTTCCTTCCGCCCACAGAATCGCGCATCCCAACTCACACACTTTCAAAATGACGTCGGTCATATTGTTGTCCAAAAACCGAAATAGGTCGGCGAAATGGTGGCATGGCACTGCCATACCCAGTTTAATAGCATACTTGCAACTATACACTTTCTACCTCTGATGGTGCTTTTTCCAACTCGTATGATCATGTCAGACGGTATGCCACCCACAATTTGAGAATAAACATCATTATTATTACCTACGACTGCGGACAAGCTAATCACCTGGCACCAATCGCCCCAGGGACCGGATCGTTCCAACCCGTTGAACCTTCCGCTTCGGATTTAAACATCTAGCTGATTTTAATTCTATGCGCTTCACAAAGCCAGTCATTTTATGTGCAGCACCAACTCCCTCCCCCAAGGAACTTTTGTACGAGACCCACCTTCGGTAATGGTACCAGTGAATCTCTGCAATTTCAATGTGCGCCGTGGCTACGAGATTCCTCCTACCATTTATCCACGTTGCTGTTCCACCCACTTGCGCTTTGTGTGACCCTGGGCATGAGTCCGACAGTCCAAGGCCAAACAGGCCTCATCTGTGGATTTGGACCTCAGTTCCAATTGACCGCCCAGATCGTAACAATGCGGCTGCCGCATCAAATTCGTTGTTCTGGTTCATCGTTTTTCGTAATTTTAGGTCTTTTTATCATGCGCTGGGCGGCACGATTCTTTTCCTGCCCTCCCTCGTTTTGTTTTTGCCCAGCACCTTCAAAACTCAACGATCTGATCTTGTCTCAGCTTGATACGTTCTCCCAAAAGTAGGATAAAATCCTAGTAGTTGTGTTTTATTTCCCATGCCTGTTTGGGAGTGGTCAAGTCCGCATCGGATATTGCCCGATGCATATGACTTTGGCAGTCAGAAATGGTGAATCATCATAGGTAGCTCTAGAGTTATTATTGACCCCTGTATAGGATGCAATTAGGCTCCCATGACTGGCTAAACAGTAGCGTCGTGCATTAGTCTGAATCACCCTGGGCCTTGGAGGTGGACGGGAGAAGCAAAGATTTTTGGTATTCTATAATTTCGCGGAAGAAACGGATATCCACAGATTGTTATTCAGTCAAGTGAGTAATCAACATAACCGAGCCAAAGCCAAAAAACCAACACCCGGATGTGCGACCACCGTATATCAACTGCAGAAATAAGGAAAACATGGAAGCTTGGTTGAAGTGTGGAGCCCAGATTGAGAGAACTGCGACAGAATGAAGTTTGTGGTGCGCGACCGGCGTGCATCGAATTCGGGTAACCCGCTATCTCAACCAATATGATTTTCAATGAAGAATGTGCGGCGTTGAACATTATGTTTGCATGTAAATAATTGTATTAGTCTGGGCAAAAAATGCACGGACCTAAGATATTGAAAGTAGGCTAAAGTAAAGGGTCAAGCCTGGAAAATTTGGAGGTGAACCGGACACACAAGACAGTGTGAAGAGTCATAAAATTGAGATCCTCCAAAATTCAGACTTCGATTTCTTTGGAGGAAATATTGAGGATGTCCAGCGTTTCAATAAAATGTCGATGAGTGTCAAATAAAAAAGATTCAGATTTGAATCAACCCACCGCGCAAACGGTGCATGATATAATTCAAGTTCCCAGAGGTGACGATGGTCCAGGGCTGATGCCGTGCGTTCTGCAAACTGTAACGGATAAAATTATTATTCTCCAGCCAGAGTAAAACAGTGAGAATAAAGCTCGTTGAGGAGAACGTTCCAAGCAGGCGAAAATGATATCCATAAAAACCATTACATGCATGAGACAGCCATGCATTAACCCCTGACACTATCAGAGGTCAATCGCCGTTATAAAAACGTGATGAATATGGCCCCATATGTAACATTACCTCCCACCAAGATCACCTACATTCAGTTCTCTTAGACCATGTATAAGAATGTTAAGGTAAAATTCCAGGGTCACGTCTGATTCCCTGCCAAAGATGCGATTTCAGCATTGCTTCCTCGACAGAGAAAATGCGCTTATCTAGAGTTTCAAGTATGTTTTGGCCGGGATGTCCCTCGTTCCGGAAAAGTTCGGCGTAAAAACATATTCCGTGCCTTCGATTTGGCTACCATCATGTTCGACCTTAATCGATCTGATTGAAAGTTCGATGCGCTCCCATCGGTTGAATATGACTGCTAACGAAGTGTAGTAGCTGCTTTGGTGTGTCAGAGAGTTTGCGCGTGTGCATGTCCGTTCGTCGTTCCACCATCGATCTGGCGTGTGACTTGAGTGGCTGATTAGATGTGTGTCCGATTGATTGGCTCGCGTGAGCGCTGTGGGTTGACTGGATGTGACTCAGTTGTTTAGCTTACCGGCCACGAAAGTGGACCAGTTTGGCCGTGTGTGCCAAATACACCCGTGTCCATACTTACGCGTTCTGTGAACTACAATAATGGCGAGGGGTCTGACGAACCCATCTTACCAAATGTCTATCGGAAAGCTAGAAGAATTTACCGCTACTGGAGGCTCCTGGAACCAATATGTGGAACGGGTGAATTGTTCCTTTCTTGCTAACGAGATCACCGACGACAAGCGAAAAGTGAAACTACTTCTTACGATTTGTGGTTCGGCAACATACAGTTTGATACGCAGCTTGGTCTCTCCTGATTTACCAAATACGAAAACTTTTGACGATCTTGGGTTTATCGTTTCCAAGCATTACAATCCAAAACCTTCTGTTATCGCTCAGGGATTCAGGTTCAATGCAAGGGTACAAAGGGAAGGAGAATCCATT